TCCTATTTCCTGGGATCACCTCCCAAAGTAAATTACCTATATCCAATCCTTGTCTCAAGATCTGCTCTTGGGAGAATCCACCCTGAGATGGGTGTCCTCTAATCCAAAAGTGACTCTATGCAGGTTGTCACCACCCCTGGGAAATTGTGCCTCTGGTCTCCTGTGCCTGCAGCTGATCCCAGCTGGGAAACTCCCACATGAAGTCCTCAGCACATTTATATTTTCAGGAGCTCTGTGTGATCGGGCCTGTGTGTGCCAGCAAGGCAACGTGGCTTGTTGGTGGCTAAGGAAACAGACTCCCTGGCTCCCACCTCCTTTGTTGGCCGTGGGTGGACACACGGCCAAGCCCAAAGGAATTGTGCACAAAGGAACCTACGCTTCCTCCCCCGCTCTCGCTGTTTCACATCCTACACTGGGAAGCAATCCCACCCCTCCACAGGCAGGGTCTCACCCCAGCGAGAGGCACACATGGGCAATGAGGAGGGAGGGCCATCAGGAGAGATCTAGGCAGGAGGACTCCCCTTGGAATTCTTGGATGAAGGGGCACAGGGAACACCTCCTGCTCTCACAGACATGGTGGGTCTCCTCCACTGGCCCAGCCCAAGGGCTTAAAGCATTGTGTGGCCGACCCTTAGAGGGGGCATTTAGAACCCTGAATAATTAAGCTGTCAAGTGATTGACAGGCAAGAGGGATGTTTTTTTCTGGAAAGGGCCCATCTTTCAACAGAACACATGGGCAGGCCCCAGCAAGTGGGGAGGATGGGCAGAGGGTTGGGCTGTGGGCAACCCTTGATTTCTAGCTTCTGTTTGAAAGACTGATTTTGCCTTCACCAGTTAAGCAATCATTCAACAAACTTGTATTGAGCGCCAGATCCAAAGATGACTAAAACCCACCCTTGTTCCTACTATAGTTACCATCCAGAGAGTTGCTGTTCCAAAATTAGTCACAGACATTTGATTTAAAATTACGTGCGATTTCTTTTCCAGGAGGATTCTTGAAGGACTTCTGACCATATGGGTAGGGGCAGAGTTTTCTGAGATGGTTGGGGGTGAGGAAATGCTTTGAAGGAGGTATAATGTAGGAAGGAGATGAAGGGAGACAGGAGGAGGGAGGACAAAGAGAAAGAGGGATATCCTGGGACATCCTCTGAGGCCCTAAACTGTGCCGTCTTCCCCACTCCACCCCTGCCCATCACATGGAACAAGGGAGCTTGCTAGTTGGGAAAACCACCACTTCAAGTCCTGGCTGCCTGCTGTTTTGGGGTACCCACCTAAACCCTCCAGAGAAAGAAGTGCCTACCCACACCTTCCCACCACATGCATTTTGCCTGGAGAAGGGGTGTGGGAGTGGTCTAGGGTAAGTAGACCTTGGTGCAATACTAAGCAAAGACGATTATGGACCAGCAGGTGAATCTTCAGATGGAGACAACAGGAGGTCAAAAACTCTGATCTCTTCCCCAAGGGGGATAAGGGACAACCCACCACCAGGGAGAGAAGGGCAGGATCCTGCTCTATGTTGCAGAAACTGTGAGGCCAGGTTCCACCAGTCCAGTCTCAAGCAGAGACTTTCTCCCTGACCTCAAAAAGCAATTGGGGCCGGGCGAGGAAGCTCACGCCTGTAATCCTAGCACTCTGGGAGGCCGAGGCGGGCGGATTGCTCAAGCTCAGGAGTTTGAAAGCAGCCTGAGCAAGAGCAAGACCCCGTCTCTACTATAAATAGAAAGAAATTAATTGGCTAACTAATATATATAGAAAAAAATTAGCCAGGCATGGTGGTGCATGCCTGTAGTCCCAGCTACTCAGGAAGCTGAGGCAGCAGGAGGATTGCTTGAGCCCAAGAGTTTGAGGTTGCTGTGAGCTAGGCTGATGCCACGGCACTCATTCTAGCCTGGGCAACAAAGATGAGACTCTGTCTCAAAAAAAAAAAGGCAATTGGGCTAGCTGATGCCACAACAAAATTTTAATAAAATGGGTCTCCCTCTCCCTCCCTCTCTCTCCTAATTTTCACAAGGACGAAGGACATGAAGCTGGAGCCACTTCACCTTCTACCCTACAGTCTGTTTGGACCAGCGAATTACTAGCTAAGCTTTCTTTTTTTGAGAGAGAGAGAGAGTGAGAGTCTCACTGTGTTGTCCAGGCTAGAGTGCCATGGCGTCAGCCTAGCTCACAGCAACCTCAAACTCCTGGGTTCAAGTGATCCTCCTGCCTTAGCCTCCCGAGTAGCAGGGACTACAGGCAGGTGCCACTGTGCTTCACTATTTTTTTTCTATTCTTAGGTGTTTGGCTAATTTCTTTCTACTTATAGTAGAGATGGGGGTCTCACTCTTGCTCAGGCTGGTCTCGAACTCTTGAACTCAAGCAATCCTCCCACCTCAGCCTCCCAGAGTGCTAGGATTACAGGCATGAGCCACCTGCGCCTGGCCACTAGCTAGGCTTTCTAAACTAACAACAAACAACAAAACAGGTATCCAAACATGGGTGGGGGGGGGGGGAGGCACCAGAAGAAGGGAGGAGAAAGAACAGGAGCTCGGCCTTTCTTTCCCCGTGGAGCCTCCCTGGCAAGCATCACCTCCATCAACAGTCACTACATATCCACTGTGCACCAGGCACACGCTAGGTGCTGAGGAGACATCGACCCTGCTGCTGAAGGGCTCATGTTCTGGCAGAGAGGAAAACATGCAAATGAGTAATGACCTTGACTGGTACCTGGTGCTGAGAGAGAAGGGGGTACAGAGCACAGGTAGGGATTCCAAATGAAAGTTTGTCAATGAGTGAGGGCAGGAAGGAAGGCTTTATAAAAAAGCGACTTTTCCTAATGCTTTAATTTTTAGAGCAGTTTTAGGTTCCCAGCAAAACTGAGAGGTAGGTACAGAGATAGGTACATATATGCCCTGTCTGACACATGCATAGGTCCCCAATTATTAACATCCCTCACCAGAGTGGTACATTTGTTACAATTGATGGACCTACATTGACATGTCAGTATTACCCAAGGTCCATTATTTATGTTAGGGTTCACTCTTGGTGTGGTACGTTCTATGGATTTGGACAAATGTATAATGACAAGTTGTATCCACCATTACTGTGTCATATAGAGTACTTTTGCTGCCTGAAAAGCCTCTGTGGACTTTTAAAGGAAAAAGTGACTTTTGCATGTGGTTAGATAAATGTTGCTTTCCCAGGGGAGGGAACAGCAGGAAACACAGTCACTGGTGGTGAAACGCCATGCTGCTATTCTGTAAATGGCTGGAAAATAAGGGTCAAGGTCCCAGATGGGGAAGGGAAAGAGAAAAAGATGGAAATGTAGGCAGATTGTCCTGAGAATGAATTTGCATGAGAATGGATAGAGCCTTCTGCAACTGCCCAGGGGAGAGATGAAGAGGCCTGATTCAGATAGACTGAGGTATGAGCCAAGCTGAGTTGAGATGACCCTCCTGGTAATCAATACATACGATTGAGAGCTGGTTTTCCCAGCTCCCTGGCTTGAGTGACAGGGAGGACGTGGGCCCACGGCCCCTGGGACAGGCAGCTCTAAAGGAAGCAGGGTCTCCCACTCCCTTCCTTTTGCCACACTGTTCCGAGCTCCTGTTTCCACCCATCTCTCACCTTGGGGAACTGTGACTATTGGGTGGCAGGTCATTTCTTGAGATGTTCACTGATGTTTCCCTCTTTACTAACCCCTTGCCTTGTGGTTTATGGTTTGCAAACGCAGAAGCAAAGTGCCTGCAGGTATTTTCTATGATGACTTTTGCTTCCCAAAGTTAAGCCACTGAGCTGTTTATGGTTTATGTGAGGGTACAGGGAGAGTAGGAGAAGGAAAGAGAACCTCTGAGGGGGACATGGAGACTGAGGAAAGGGGGCAATCGTTTGGGCAAGCTCTGAGCTGCAGTGTCCCCGCACTCAGCTGAGCAGCCTCAGAGGGGATGGCTGTGAGGCCTGCTGCAGGCTCCCAGCCCCTCCCAAGATTTCCATACCCCTGTGTGGCAGAGCCGAAGGGCGGGTTGTCTCTGCAGAATACACTGCCTGCTAAAGACAAGAGAGGATGCCCCAGATCCCTGAAGCCTCATTAGACCCTGGGCCTTGGTATTACAAGAAGGGCTGGGCCCCCTAAAATCTGAGGTCAATTTCTTTTTATTTATTATTTAATTTTTATTTTTTCCCCAAAATTCATATATTGCAACGAGGTCAATTTTTTGCCTGCCCTGCAGAATGGGAGCCGGAGGTTGAGAGGACTAGGTAGACGTAACTAAATAAAGGAACGCACTGCTTCTTGCACACACTTCTTTCCACGGTCTGGGTAGAGCCCGGGTCTCATCCACCACCGCAGTTCTAGCTCTCAGCTGAGAGGACCTGTGCAGCAGGAGGGGCAGATGGAGGAGAGGGCGGTTTGCACTGGCTCCCCACCAAATTAACGGGCACCCCACCTCCCATTCCGGGGACTGTCATGCTGGATGCCAGGAAAGATATGACGTTCCAGATTGTTTTGGGGAGGGGGAGAAAGAGTGCAATCAACTCCCCAAGCTTTCACTTTTAAAAATCCTTGTAGGGCAGGCAAAAATACTAAACAGTCGATGGAGAAGGCCTGTGTGGCGCAGCTCCGCCGGTGAGACAGCGCCAGAGAACGGGGTGGGACCAGGCCTGACCAAGGAGCGCCGCGCCTGCGCACTGCAGGCTCTGAAGCCACCGCGCCCTCAGCAAGGTGGGCGGGGGCACCCGGGCATCCGGGTCCCTCACCCCGCCCCCGCCGCATGAATGAGAGGCGCGGCGCCCGCCCCTCCCCCGCCGGGCCCGCCCCTTGCCCGGGGCCGCCGCGCGCAGTCTGCCGCCGCCACCTCAGTCGCTGTCGGTCCCGATGGACGCTGGTCGCCCGCAGCCTGCCGCCCGCCCGCAGCCCGCTGCCCAGCGCTGACTGTCCCCCATGTCCGCCGCTGCCGCCGGCGACCACGAGTAAGTGAGCGAGCGAGGGCAGGGGCGCCGAGGGCCATCGCCCCCGGTCTGGGGCTTGAGGCACGGGGCGGGTCCGGGTCTGGGATGCTGAGGAGACTGCGGGCCCGCGCCAGCCTCCCCCACACACTCCCCGGGCGCCTCGGCGGGCGCGGCGGGGGGCAGAGGGGTGAGACAACCGCCCCAGACGGCGGAGGGACGCGGAGGAGGGTCTGGCGCGGCCCCGGGGCGGGAGGGGGAGTCCTGCACAAAGAGCGGCGCGGGGCTGTCACCAGGAGGTCACGGAGGGAAGGTTCGTGGCCCCTCGCACACCGAGCTCACCTGAGCTCTGGCGTCGGGTCTCCGGGCGTGGGAGGCGGCTGGGATGAGCCGGGAGGCGAGGGGGAGGATGGCGAGGACGGCTGCCTTGGTATTGGCGGTGGGAACGCGCCTTGGGGGACGCGGCGTGGCAGTGTTTTCCTGGTCCCGGTCCACTCCTCCACTTTCTTTGTGGCGCTTGTCTCGTGCCGGGTTGTCACAGTGTGCATGGCAGTGGTCTGGGGTGAGACCTCTCGCCTCGGCTTACTCAAATGAAAGTCATCATCTGTGGGCAGGGGGCGTGTGTGCTTTCACAGGCTGGAGAATTAAGGACCCTCCTTTGTTTCTGGAGACCTGATGGGGTGTGGGCGTGTGTATGTGTGACATCTATGAAATGAGACAATCAAAGATCATCAAAAAGAGTATAAGGAAAAAAGGGGTTAAGGGGGAACATATAACTTCATCACACCTTTACCCAATTCTGTCTCTGATGTTATTTCAGACAGCTTGTTTCTCATTGTAAATCAGTGGCTTTTGTTAATTGAAAATGTATGTCTACATTATCCTATCTGTATATCTAGAACACTTGCTTTTTGGGGGTTTAGTTAATGGCTATATTCTCAATTCTGTGTACATGGGAATACGCCAACATACACTGCTTTCTGGGTTTACTTCACTGATATGTCTACATGCCCATATGCATGTCTATAGGAATACTCCAGTGCATCTAGGACACTTTTCTCTGCTTCTTAGTATAGGCAAATTTTGTTTCTTCCTGCCTCTCTGTGTTAGTAAGAAGGTGGTCCAGTAGGTTCTCTCTGCCTCCTTTTTTTTTTTCCCTCACTTAATGCTTTGGCAGAGGATTTTATTGCATATTACCCTGGCATGCATCCTTGCTTTGATCTCAGTTTTCCTGTGTTCTGTTGTCTGGTTGTACAGCTCAGCTCAATGGCTCCTCTTACAGGACTACTGGAAAACAGAACACCTTTTTTCATTGTCCTCATCCTCAGGGAGAGAAGGATACTCTATAGGTTCCCACAGACTTTGGCTCTGTTGGCTTGACTGCTTGACTTCGTTGTCTTGGTAAAATTATGAGGAGTTAATGTTGTCATAGACCAATTAACAAGAGGCTATTGTGATAGCAGCAGCTATTCCTTGCTATTTTGTTTTTAAACCAGATTATATACATTTTAGAAGATGTTATTCTGTTCCCATGATGATTTTCAATTTCTTTTTTGCCATTATAATTTTGCACAGTGATGGGAAATTAGCTAAACTCAATTACAGAAAACACACATCCTAGATATTTTTATTTATTTTCATTTATTATTTATTTTGAGACAAGGTCTCTCTCTGTTGTGCAGGCTGGAGTACAGTGGTGCAGACTTAGCTCACTGCAGCCTTGAACTCTTGGGCTCAAGCAATACGCTGGCCTTGCCTCCACAGTAGCTGGAACTACAAGTGCATGTCATCACACCTGGCTAATTTTTTTTAATTTTTGTAGAGACAGGGACTCACTATGTTGCCCAAACTGATCTTGAACTCCTGGCCTCAAACAGTCCTCCTGCCTCGGCCTCCCAAAGTGCTGATATTATAGGTGTGAGCCACTGCATTTGGATTATAATATTTGTGATTCAAAATAGTGATCATAAGGCTGGGCACAGTGGCTCACGCCTGTAATCCTAGAACTCTGGGAGGCCGAGGCGGGTGGATTGCTCGAGGTCAGGAGTTCGAGGCCAGCCTGAGCAAGAGCGAGACCCTGTCTCTACTATAAATAGAAAGAAATTAATTGGCCAACTAAAATATATATATAGAAAAAATTAGCCGGGCATGGTGGCACATGCCTGTAGTCCCAGCTATTTGGGAGTCTGAGGCAGGAGGATCGCTTGAGCCCAGGAGTTTGAGGTTGCTGTGAGCTAGGCTGATGCCACGGCACTCACTCTAGCCTGGGCAACAAAGCAAGACTCTGTCTCAAAAAAAAAAAAAAAAATAGTGATCATAAAAAAAATTGCATTTCTATTAGATGATATGAATGATTGGATGGGTTCTGTTTTCTTTAAGATTCTCTTTAAGATTATTTTTTAATCACAAGTATTTTAATTCCTAGTAGTTTTCAGTGCAAAATAAAGTGTAAACTAAGCAGTTTTTCATAGTGTCTGTTTATGTATACTCCCTCTGTTTGAAACATTTGCTTTTAATTTGAAGGAGGAATTATCCATTGGTTGACTCAGGATCCATTATTCTTGGTAAAATTCTTACCTTATGTTATCATGTTCAAATTGTTTTTTGTAAGAGTTAAAATTAGTAGAAGTTGATTTTTCAATTGGAGAAGTTTTGATTTTGTGATATATGATTTAAATTTTTATTAACAATTTAAGTTAGTTAACTTAAAAACAAGAGCTTTATTAACTAGGGTCACTAATATTGAAGCAACCCAATATATTTATAACTGCCCGTCTTGACTACATAAGACTTTTTTTTAGGAGTACTCTTAAATCATAAGGGGAAGTCTTAGATAAACAGTAGTATAACCGGAATTATCACAGAAATAGGCTTGCATAGTACTGCAATTTCATAGAACTTTAATTTTGTAAGAGTGACTTAGCTATTTTTTATATCAACAAAGGAACCAAAATACAGCCTGGCCTTATTGTTCAGCATTCTGTTAATCAAAATCTTTATCAACTCATAGTTTAACATTTCAGTAAAAAAATTCTAAAATAGCTATTATATTATCAAAACAGATTAAATTATATTAAATGCTGTTTTCTGAGTAAATATATTATTTACATTCATTAGAATACTAATATTGTTATGTTAATGATGGTAAGAGCATATATAGTAACAGTTTGTTAACCAAAACTGGGATCTATCAGCCTCCCAACAATGTCTGATAACAGCAAGTAAGTGTTTTTTTCATTGAGCATTCTCTATTGATAATTGTTTCCTGTTTCAAGTGGTAGTTTATTCTAAAATCGGTAGTAATGATGTAATGTATTAGCTTGAGCCATATGAAATTGTCATTTTTTTTAGATTGGGAAATGATTAAAAAATTAGCAATTTTATGCTGTTCAACCACTGCAACTCTTAGCAGTTCCTTCTGGTATTTGCATTTATATTTATTTCATTTTTAATGTTTACACTGCTATTTCTTGTTTTCTTTGGCTGTCATTTATGAATGTCTGTGTTGAAAGTTGAGGACTTAACTGTCCCACACAACCATCCTTCTACCCCCACTCGTATCTATAGTGTACAATTCCCAGTTAAGTCAGTATTCAGTATTTATATGACTGTGACAGTGTATCTATTATTCACAGATGAGCCATGTAGGGTACTATTACCACATTTCCTACTTGTGCAACTTTTGTTTTTTCCTGAATTAAGTAATTGCCTCTTTTGTTTTTCATTTGCTGAGTTTTCATTGTATTAGTCATTAATTAATCCTCAAACTCTGACAGAACTGATAATCTTTTCGTGTTTTCAGATAATCTCTCAGTTTTATATGTTTTTCCCAGAAGATAGTTCTACTGGAGCCCGCCCTTTCTTACCCCAGTCTGGGTTGGTTTGCTCTCTGGACTACTGCACAGCTGTCATCCTGAGACTTCCCCTTGACATCATCTTGGGAATTCCCTCTGCCTTCCTCCTATGGTGGATATTCTATTTCCTGGATCCTCTGTCTGATTCTTTAGTAGCTTCCTGAGAAAGGGTACATCCAAAGTCTGAAATTCCTTCCTGAATTCAGAAGTTATATATCTGGAAATGCCTTCATACTTGAACGGTAGTTTAGCTTGGTGTTGAATTCTAGATTGAAATTAATGTTCCTATTTTGAAGGCCTTGTTTCATTAGCTTCCAGTGTTACTGTTGAGAGTCCAATGCCATTCTAATCCCCATTCCCTTTTTTCTTTCACAATGGAAGATTTTAGCACCTTCGGTTTATCCCTGGTGTTCCTGACATTTCATGATTTATGTTGGTATAGGTCTTTTTTTTTTTCCTTCTGCTTGTGGGGCAGATTGTATTTCTCAAAAATGGCTACACATATATGTATAATATGTACACATACACACATCTCTATCTTACCCAATATGCTAGTCTTTGTGCCTCCATCAAGAGGTGGGGTCTTTGTTTCCTCCCCTTGAACCTGTGCAAACATGAATTCTCCCCAGAATGTTTTGGGTCTTGAACCAGCATGGTGGTTTAGGAGCACAGCTGGATGATCAACAGTATGCACCTGGTGCTGCTAGGCGCCCAGAGCCATCAAGTTAGCATATACCTTCCCATTGGCTTTATGACAAACAGCTGTTTAGCCATTTTCAGATTAAGCACTAAAGGTGTGTGTATTCATGGGGGGGGGAGGGTAGTTAAGTTTTTGTTTTTTACTTTTAAATGTAATCATCAATGAAAATATCAGTTAACAACAGAGAAAGTTTCTTCAAGCAGTGAAATGAATCAATGTAAAGGTTATCAGGTATGTTTTTTAAAAATTCACCTTAGGAAATGATAGAACCATTCATGACCAAAAAGAAACTGTCTTTAAGCTTCATGATTAAATATGTCATTACTAAATATAACAGATACATTGTTCGCAAGAATTTTTGTGATGAGAAGATAGAGACAAATGGAGCTGCATAGACCATGGCTTGATTGGACATAGTCTAGTGTTTTGTGTTTATCTCACAGATATATATTTTTAAAACATCCTTTAATTGCTCTTTTAAAATTTTTTAATTTTAAGAAATATTTTTATATTTACAGCTGCCTTATCATTCATGTAGCTTTTCCATGAGTGTACCTGAGTGGCTGAATATTATTAGAAAACTTCAGATTCATGACCAAAAATCTGAAGTGGACACTCAGGACCACCCAGCAAAGCTACCACTGACTCCTAATAAGATCTTTCTGCTTATAACTATTCTATAACTTCTCCCAACTCTTTAAACTCATCAGCAGCCCACCCCTCCCACTCCAGTGTAGGCTGACCTTATACCTCATTGAG